ATTAATTCCATTCCCTTCTTTCCTTTCCCCAACCCCTCCCACTTCCCCTTCCCCTTTGCCCCTTTTCTTCCTATTTCACATTATCTATTACACCTTTTAGTCCTTATTTACACTTTCAGTTTCTCACACCAGAAAAACTATTCGGTATTTACACATGTGTGTCCTGTTTATTTCACTTTATAGTATCGCCTCAATGTGCATCCATTTAGTTATACCAGTCAGATTCCTTTATTGGAAAACTATCTTATTGGAGAGACTCGGAATTTTCAGTTGGTGGAGCTTTTAAAGTCACAGGTGGATTAAGAAATAGTGGTAGCTAGGCTGGGGTGCAGCTTGTGGTGGGTGCTTGCCTAGCGTGTGCCAGGCCCTGGGTTCCATCTCCAGCACTGCAAAACAAAAGCTAAAAAGTACCCACTCTCCAAAATTTGTCTTTCTGTTTTCCTCTTTCTTCCCTTCCTTCCCTCGCTTCCCTTCCCCTCCTCTTCAGTCTTACTTTTTTTTGTTGCTGAAACAAAATACCCAACACCCAAAGTTTAAAAAGGAAAGATTTATTTAGCTCACGGTTGGTAGAGGTTTTAGGTCATAGTCGGCTGGCTCTAAAGCAGGGTGGTGTGGCACATGGGCATTGCAGAAGGAAAAACAGTTCACAAGGGGAGGGGGCTTGATGGCAGGAATGGAATAAAATAAAATTTATTTTAAACAAACCGGGGGCTGGGGATTTAGCTCAGTGGTTTCGCCGCCTACTGTGCAAGTGCAAGGACCAGAGTTCGATCCCGGTACCCAAAAAAACCCAAAACAAAATCAAACCGGTTCACAGCAGGCAGAAGGCAGCAAGGCAAGCAAGGGGCCTTAGCAGCTTCTTTGTGCCCCTTTTGTTCTCCCTAGGCTGCTGAGATGAGGGCGTTGCCAAAGCAGTGGACTGATTTAGTAAGCATCACCCTTAATCCTAGCACCCTTCCTGCTAGCATCGCACCGTGAATCAGTCACACACTAGATTCAGGCCCCTCTGGAAAAGCCCCACCTATGAGGCTTCGGGGGGGACATCTGGACACAGCCAGAACATCTTCCTCTCCTCTCCCCTCCCCTCCCCCCCTCCCCCC